TTAAAATTTCAAAAATGGCTGCAGGAGCTTACTGTCTCATACAGCGCCACAGCTCAACTTCAGCATGACGTATAAAGTAGCCGTTGAGTTCCAAATTGAAATTAAAATAATTTGCCGTCGCGGTTTCGGTTCGCAGACGACGCAAATTTTGGCGATTTCACGTTGTTGTTTTGCATAGGACGTCTAAGAAATGTACAAAGTTTCAAAACGCACGTGCTGAACTATTGTTCTGCCAATTAGATCTCTTGTTTTTCCACATCCTCGTTGCCGTCGCCGTCGTGGTTTCTTAAGGTCCCTAATGACTAAGTGCTCACTGATGCCGGTAGGTTTTACCGACGTAACAAGCATAACACTAGCACATACAAACTTAATGATAAACCACACGTGAACGGAGCCCGTCAGGGATATAGGGTCTTTCACACCGAGCAAGTTATCAATTTTGAAGGAAGAGAAAACCAGTTTAATATTCAAGTCATTGCGATAGCGCTTAATAAAATGGTGGATCTTTTTTGAGTGATAACAAAAAAAGTGGCTTATTGCAGGGTAGCTTAAAGTAAAAGGTAGGTGAAGTGATGGGAAGGGAACCCCGTGGATGAGGATTGCTTTGGGTCCCAGTGATATAAAGGTTTATGATCTTCTCGATTTAATGGGCAGGGAAAAGATTCTTTTTAGAATACCAGTAAGTTTTTTAATGCCCTCGTGAAACCCTAACCACTGGGTGTTATTAATCTTGTAAGCCCTATCAACGAGTGTCTTAATGTGACCATTTTATAAGAGTACGAGGTGAGGCTGAAATAATTAGTTAGTAACCCGGTGAAAGTTTTCTTGCGGTAAACCCTTGTTGAGGAATTGAGGTCATGGTGTCATAAGATGATTTCCTTCGTTTTCGTATGCTGCTTACACAGTACCTTGATCACCATGCGACCCGCCTTTCTTTGAGTTGGTTAGTTGGATTCCAAGTGCAGAATCTCTCCTTACAATATCTATACAAGTGATGAGTGTTAATGCTGTCGCATTAGATTAGTACAGCGGCATTTAGTTTAAATTTTGTTACCAGTCTTCGCTCGGACAAGTGACACATGTTTTCACTGTTCGAGACAAGGTTGTACCTCGGCCAACCTAAACGAATTTCAGTGCGTTAAATTTGCTTATTGTCAACGGTTTTACTCGTCCTATATAATCGGAAAGACTAAACGGAAACGGAGGGCGATGTAACAAGGAACCTAAGGAGTGATTAAAGGTACAAACAATTCTACGAGGCCGAGCGTTTTTAATCTTCAGGACAGTTTATATTACCGACAGTTACAATGAGATTAAAGAAAAATATCAGTAAGGGATAATTCTTGATCAAATACCAAATTCTCCAAACTAACACCATGAGAAGTGTATAGCAGACAGTAAGGAGAATTGCTAATGAGATCTTGGGAGGGAACGAGTCATCAAGGAACTCCTAGTATAGTGTACGCTGTTTAAGGAGTATCCCCAATGAAATATTTAAGTATCATGAGAGTATCAGCAGCTGAGCTTCCAGCTTGGTGATGGAATTTAAAGCAGTCGGTAGTGTATTCAAGCTGACAGCTAATGTTGAAGAAAAATTCATTGCCTTTATGGATTTCCCCTTAGGAAATTTTAAGAACAGATGGATGCAAGAAATCTTTTTCATTGTTTTAATCTTTGATTTAATGACAGTGACCCATCACCTTTCTCAAAACCGTCACTGAATTCGCCCAGTTGTTAAAGAGGCCCCTATACCGCTTTGTAAAACTCAGTCACGATAAAATATTTGCCGGACTTCTCACGCATCATGTATAAAATCCAAAATTACTTCAAGTTCACTCGAAACTTGAGACGATCACATTTCACATGAAAATAAAACCAAATTAACGAATCATCGATCCATAGAAAGTCCATTTCCTCTCAAACCCCAGGTCAAAACCTAACCACAGCCGTTCGAGAATAATACATACATTTTCAAAGCGATTAAAAAGACGGAAATTCATCACGCAAAACAAAACTGGTTCATGAATCATGTTTAATTTAGCTCTTCAATCACTGAGTCAAGCACAAATAGTAAAATTTCTTCACATGGACATGAAAAGATCTCATCATCTTATCATCTTTAATCACGATTCACGAATAAAGAAAACATAAAATTTAAAAAAAATTGCCCAATCACACTTCACATACAAAAGTTTGGGGATCCTCTTTTAAGGGTGTCAGTTGGCCTGTGTCAGGCATTAAGTCAGAGAGGACAAGTAAAAATTAGGACAAAAGGTTGCTGCTGCAATTCCTAACTGACAATCCTAGGGTCTTAAGTCTATTAAATCATACTGATCGTGAGTTTGTAACAGGTTTTATCGCTCTTAGTTAGGGACCGGTCATTATTTATGTAGAGTGACAAGCATTTTGTCAAGTGAAAATTCAGTCAAACCAAATATTAAAAAAATGGGTGTGGATTCTTTATTTAGTTAAATTTTAGATAACAATGGCAGAAGCGGAAGCAGTATATCAGTGTGTTGTGTATTCATTTAGCGGAGACATTATTATTCTGTCGTTATTCAGTGATCAAGTATCTTAGAAGCTGGTACAATAGTCTTACTTAATAACAGTACTTTCACATCATTAAGTAATCTTACAGTAATATCACTAACATTAGTGCAAGTACTTTCACTGTGTTCTCAATACACTACACAGTGATATTAAAATCACTAAGTTGTACAGGATAGTGATGTCTAAACCAACAAAAATAGAATTAACACAAAATTTTACAATTTAGCGTTTCTGTTTCATATTTAATTTTTGCACTTAACTATTGAACTGTTTCTCCCACCTTGGGAAATTGACCACTTTGAAAATGTATCGTAATCTATTCACCCCCCTAAAATTCTCTATCAAAAGTTTAGCCCTCTTGTCGCCCATATCTGAAATAGCCTTGTCCCACCCTTTTCCCTCCTCCCGTCCCCTTCACAATTTATACCGGTCCCTAATTAACTCCACAGAGGAAAAGGTATTAATAAAATAACAAGGATGATTGAGGAACCTCTTGGGTTAAGTGGGGTCTGAAGTTGTCCAAGAATCCCTCTCACCTCAACCTCTGGTGAGGAGCTTTCTTTCCCATCAATGGCACTTTTTATTGACTATTAAAAGTAATCCACGAAAATTCCCTTAGGAAGAAATTTTATTTCTTCCCTTAGGAAGAAATTTTATCTTGAAAACCTTTAGTTATAAGTCTCGAAGAGCTGACTCGTCATAAATGTGTCGTCAAAACTGATAGCAAGACAAGTAAAAAAACATTTTGTCAAATATGAAAGGAAAGAGGAACTGAACAAATTTTGGACTGGAGCAACAGATTGATCGCATAGGGGATTGCAACTAGTATTCTCAAAGAGTGCCGTTTCAATTGCTGACTTACTGTAAGTTTTTTTTTTTCTTAACAGGCACCTCTGAATGCTCAGCACCATTATGTTGCCTCATTTGTGTGTGCATACATCACCATGGTAACTATGGGAGCATTGGCATTCAAGACTGCTGGAGGAAGCCTCTTCAACATTTACAGACTCACTTCACGGCAGACACACCGTGACCACTAACATGAATCTATACCTGACTAATGTAAAACCTGTTTATAATACAACAGCCCACGTACAATGTTAGCTTCAGTCACCAGGAAAAGTGTAAACTGTCGAAGAGACAACACAGTGTAAAGCTTAGAGAGCATATGCTTCTTGAAATTACTCATTAAAAGATATCCTCTACTGCTCAGACCTCGCTAAGATAATTTTTTGCTCTGAAACTTCTTTAACCCTTTTGCATCCTGACATCAATATCCATATTATTCATAGTCTTCTCTATACACTACTATTGGTGCTGACAAAGAGAATGTGTTTTGTTCGAAGCTTCTTAGGTTGGCGATTGTAGCGTCTAATATACATACATATATACATACATACATTCATGCACTTTATTAACGTGTCAAGGTATTTAGCTAGAGAAGCTAATTCGGGACACTTTTAGTAACCGCGAAAAGTAAGCCACAAAAGGCAGCCACGAAGGCGAAAGACAACAGTATACGGTACGCGTTTTTAATACTCTCTTCCCGCGCTCACACTCTCCCGGATGTATACTTTCACATGTACAACCGCTGTCCTAGTATACTACAGATGATTTCCTTTATTCTCACGACCGATCTTCATGACCTTAATGAATGATTCAGCAGTTTTACTGTAAGGATAAATTAGATAGATGCTGATAAATCTCAGGATTTAAAGGTTTAAAAGCTTGAATGGATTATGTGGAGAGTTGAACAGCGGGTAGAGCAGAAAGCATTTGCTTGTTTTTGTTCTTATTTGTGTAGGTGTACCCTCCTCCCTGAGGAGAAATGGAGGGGAGGAAGGGCCCCCTCCTACCACTTCTCCCCAGGGGGAAGGTACGGCTACACGTAGGCTATTTAACAATTATTCCACGAGCGCGCGTTGGATATGAGATGATAGATAGCCAACGAGGCGCGTACCGCCGAGTT